GCTGCTGCAGCACCCACAGCAGCAGCAGCAAAAGGACAATCTTTTTTCCAATAAATTCCAATTACTTCATTAAATTCCAAAACTGGCCTCTGAAATGAAACTCCCTTCCACTTTCCGCAAAAACGTTTCATCTGCCAGTACACCCGAGCATTCAGGTGTACGTACACCCCAGCACTCGGGTGTACGTACACCCCACGAATTTTCGCCTTTCCAGTTCTTCGCACTTCCCTTTCATTTGTTATTTTTAGCCTCTTTTGGCATTTTTTGTTTCCTTTTATTTATCTTCTTCTATTATTTTCTTATTTTCACTTTCTTTTTTGTTCATTTCTCCCTCTAACCGCAAACCCTAAACCCCAGCCTGCAGATCCTGGAGGCTGGGGTTTAGGGTTTAGGTTCCCAGGCACCCAAAACCCTCGCCAGCAGACCCTAAACCCCCGAAACTCTGTAAACCCTAAATCCTCTAAACCTTCACCACTAAACCCTAAACTCCCTAACCCTCGCTGCTAGCCTCTACGCCCCCAAACCCTCACCACAAACCCTTGAGAAAGTAAACCCTCGCCACTAAACCCTAAACCCTCGGAGCCAGCAGTGCATCCTTTGTAAGCGTCTGCAGTTGAGTGCCTTGGAGCTGCGCACACGAAGTGCCGCCTGGGCGCTGCATGCGCTTGCTGCAGCCTGCTGCAGCAGCAGCGGGGTGCAGCAGCAGCACACTGCAGCAGCAGCAGCAGCAAACTGCGGCAGCAGCACACTGCAGCGGCAACAGCAGACAATTCTAATTGGGTTGGGAGCTCCTAAGGCCCCCTGCACAGCCTCCACATGAGCGGCTTCCACAGGGCAACAAGCAACTGGCGCTGCAGGGCAGCAGCTGCAGCAGCTGCTGCAGTTGAAAAGGCAGCTGCTGCTTTCCCCGCCTCTTATCCTTACGCCTCTCTTATCCTTAAAACGAAGAGCGACACTTGCGAGAACAGAAATGAAAGAACTAATGGGAGGCGCGTGCGGGAAGCTGCGGTGTACGTACACCTGCGCGTCCCGCGCGCGCCCGCCCTTGCGAGCCGCCGCCGCCGCTGCTGCTGCTGCTGCTGCTGCTGCTGCTGCAGTGCAGCGCATCAGCAGCAGCGCGGCAGAGCGCGCCGGCGGGTCAGACGGAGAGGGTGGAGCCGGGCTCGTTGGAGTCGGCGAAGGTCTTCTGCTCGCGGACCTTGCTGCTGCCTGCTGCTGCTGCTGCTGCTGCTGCTTGTCTGCTGCTGACGCGGCGCAGCAAAAAGATCAACACGTACACCAACAGGCCCGCAGCAACCATCAGCCCGTCCACAAACACGAAGCTGCGGGGGGCCTCGAACTCGAGGACCTTCTTGTACCACAACATGCTGAGCAGCACGAAGACTCCGCCAGCAGCAGAAGTGAATCCTGCAAGTTTTCCGAAAGCGTGTTCGGGAAAGTGAATTGAAATGAAACAGTAGACGTTGCTGAGGACAAAAGAAGTGTAGACGAAAAAGAAAACAATTGAAATGCCTTTGCACGCCAGGTTGTCGAAGATCAGAAACAGAAACATGCATACACCCGAAGTGTTCAGCAGCAGCAGCACCACGATGATCCCGTACAGATCCACCAGCCGGCCGAAAACGGGGCCCGGAATGAAACTCAAAATGTTGAAAATTGCAAACATTTGGTAAAGATCTTGTCCGGAAGAAGTAATTAGCTGCTCCTTGTTCGACTTCGCGTAGTAGTCCGAGCGCACCAGCGCGCAGCAGAAGATCGGCAGCAGCAGCAGGAACTTCGGGTCCACCAGCAGCTGCCAAAACGACCTGCTGTCCCTCTGCCGCGCTGCTGCTGCTGCTGCTGCTGTCGACACCGACCCGTCCTCCTTCGACGCGTCCCGCAGCTCCTCCGCCGGCAGCTGCTGCTGCTGCTGCTCCCCCGCTGCTGCTGCTGCTGGGGCCTTGAAAGAAGCCATTGGCACGAACAGCAGAGTCACCAGCAACGACAGGCCCTGGCCCACGCCCACGTAGCCCACGCACATCTGCCAGAGGTCCTCGGGCCGGAAGGAGGGGCTCTGGAAAACCGCAGACATGACAACTGGAATTGCGAAAGAAATGGACCTGACGGAGCCCATGATTGAAATTACAAACGAAGAGTTGCTGGGAAATAACTTGCTGATCGAGATCAGCGGCAAATAGCCCGGGTCGGAGGCCACGCCGATGCAGAAAGCTGCTGCGTAGTAGGCGCGGAAACCCTCGCCCGAGAAGCCCAGCAGCAGCCAACCCACGATGTCCATCACCACTCCTATCAACATTGTGATCTTGGGGCCCACGGCGTCCAAAACAATGCCCGCGAGGAAGGAAGAAAGCATGTTCGAGCCCAGCGCCGTCGTGAAGATCCCGCCCAGCATCTGCTTCCGCGCCGGACAGTCCACGTACTTCGCGCCGCCGATCCGCAGCTCCGTCACGCTTTCCGGGTCTCCGCACTCCCACAAGTACGCGCCGGACTTGTACAGCATTTCCTGAATGCCGTTCCAGCCCCAGTACGTGCACCCGCGCAGCAGCACCACCACCAGGTACAGGAACAGCAGCAGGTACCGGTTCAGCGGAATGTGCAGCTTCAGCGCCTTCAAGCGCCCGCAGGTCTCCTTCTCCTCCCCCATTTTCCTCAAATGCTTCAAATCGAACGAAGAAATGCCCAAATCCGTCCACAAAAGCGGCTCTTTCCCGCCGCGCAGCCAGCTGAACTTCCGCGGAAACCACCGCCGAGACAAACGGAAAGCCAGGATTCTTCGCCTCTAAATGCGCCAAAAGCGCCAAAAGTGCCTCCAATACTTCCAAAAAGAACCCAAAATGTCGAAAATAAAGAAGATCGGAAGCTGTTCAAGTCCGCGACGCCTGCCTTTTCCGGGCCACGGCTCTCTGCCGCGAAATGATGCAAAAGGAAGCAGCAGCGAGCTTCACTGGCAGCTTACTGCTTCCTTTCGCGCGCCTAAAGCCTTAAAAATCAAAACAAATCCGTAGACATTATTTAATTTAACGCAAACCAAGCAGAAGACCGAACTTTCCAGGGGAGTTGGAAGTGGCGGTAGGCAGAGAGCCCCGCACCCTTTGCCTAACCAGCCCCCGTTTCCCCGTTGGAACTGCAGTAATTTGCACCAAAAAAGACATTTTATATTGCAATACCGCGTTTATTTCGGTGGGAATTTCGATGTATCTTTTTTTATATCGAAAAGGCATGAAAAAAGTGCATCTTTTGACCCAGACAGCGACCAGGCGTTTCCCTGTGGCCACCCCACAGCAAAATCCTGCAACAGACCGCCCATGCACGTCCTGCTTTCACAATTAGCAAGGAAATCTCTCCCATTTAGATCTTCTGATAAATACAAATCAGAAATGCCGACTCATTTGAAAATTTTCTGGCTTTTTTCGGCCCTTCTGTGCCTTCAAGTGCCGGTAGATCCGAGCCAGCTGACAAGCGATACTCGCTTGGTACTGCCGCAATTTCAGTCGGAGGAGGTGCATTTCTTCCTTTTAGTTCACTTAATTCGCGGAATAAGTTGGTTTGCTGCCATAGGTTCAGTTAAAGGTTTATTTAATTGCTTCAAAGACCCCAGGAGCCCTCCTGCTGGCCCGAACTCACCGTCGATTGTTAGCCCGGCGCGAGACGGGGGGTGAGTACGCAAAAATGAGAAAATAACAACAAGTCTACTTCAGTTTTACCCCTAAACGAAATAACTTGATATTTCAAGCCGGAATGAAAGAGTTTTCCGCAGCGCCTGCACCCAGAGGCTTCGGTCTCGAGTCTAGCCGGAGAGTTGAATTCAGTTCAACCGGACTCAGTTGAGAAGATTTCAAAAATTGGGTTTTTGGAAGTTCGCGGAAGAGTTGAAGGCCAAAAAAAGGAAGAGGACATGAAAGCACTTAAAAACAAAAAGGAGCTAAGAACCGGATCACAGCGAATGCCATTCTCTATATTATTATATAATTGTTTACTCACTTGTTGCCACTGACTTCTCTCCAATTAAAAGCCAACGAGACACTTCGAAGTAGTTACATGCAAATAGAAACCCCGGCGACACAAAACGAGATTTGGTTGACTAAAAATAAACTCAATGCAACAGATGGAGCCAATATGTATCCACTTAGTGGCGCATACTTGTATACATATATACACCTGTACATATATGCATGTGCATATGTAAACAAGCACACATTTACACATTTATATACATATATGCAGGTGCATGCATACATATTTATGTATGTATCATATTCATATCTTTATATGTTAGATGCATGCATATTTGCTCATATGTACATTTGCACAATTGCGCATCCACGCGGGAACATGCAGCCAGTTTCCCTTGATTGCAGGAACGAAAGTCTGCATTTATGAAAAGCAATTCGAGTAATTAGGATGTTTTTCAAGAGGCACGTTCATAGATGCTTTGGTGTCAAGAATTGCGAAATAAACTGCACAAGTCCGTAAATGGACTTGTTCATTCAACTTGAACTACTTCCCACGCACTCAGAAAGCGCAGAGATAGCACACAGTCAAGAGAAACAGAACTTGAATGAATGAGGGCCCCCAGTTGGCGACGGAAACGAGCAAAAGGACCATTTAATTGTTTCAAATGATCCAAAATGCAAAATGTTTTGCAATTCAATTTCATAATTCAGATCTTGGCGGCGAACTTCGCGGCGCGGACCACAGACGCAACAGTCGGCAGCAAAAACGGCAGCAGCAAAGGAACATGAATGGCCAAGTCGAAGTGCAGCGAGAAGTAAGGCGCAGGCTCTAGACTTCCGTCGGCCAAAAGCTGCAGAAAGAATAAAAATATTCAAATAATAAAACGAAATAAATGATAAAGCAGCAAATGCAGGCCCGAAAGCAGCAAGGATAGGCGCGAGGCAAATGCTGCGAACACAGACTAGCTGGAACAACACGAAACTCCCAAAAAGCTGAATTCTAACCTTTAATTCCAATGTTTCTCAGTGAAAGTAGAGGCCAGAAATCAAAAACACAATTCATGTTTCTCATTTAATGGATAAGATCAATTACGAGATACAGTGTGCTAATTAACACAAAATGCAACAAGAAAAAGGTCAGCGAAGAGCAAATGTGCGTGGGAAGCAGAAACACCTCATGCATTCACCGGCTCATTCAAATTACCTTTTCAACTTCTGAAGAATGACAAAACGTGCATTTTATAAATTATATTCGTATTCATGAATAATAAAAACTGGCAGAGGCGAATGATTAGGGCAGCAATGGCATGCAACTAGAAGACTAAGACATTCACAAAACGTGAAATGGGCAAACTGGAAGCCAGCAAGTGCAGGATAAGAAGACCAAAGCAGCCGGCGCTGAACAACGCATGCAAAGTTAATAAAAAGCTAGAAAAGTGGCAAAAAACAAAAACAGAAAACATTGAAAATGAAGCCATTTGATATCGCCCGTCGGTGCACCTCTTTGGAATCCCTGAGTGCTGCGCGCGCCAGCAGCAGCGCGAGCTGTCTGTACACCCTATTTTCGTCCAGTTCTTCATCGTTTTTTACTTCGCCAGAAATGCAACTGTCTCCGCCTTGTGCCGGACAAGCAGCAGCTCCCCGCTGCTGCTGCTGCTGCTGCTGCTGTTGCAGCAGCTCGAGGGCTGCTGCTGGCAGCGCAGCACAACGCCGCAGCCGCAGCGCCTGCACGCTGCACTCGATCTGCTGCAGCACTTTCTGCGAAGCACAGACCCACCCCAAACCCTAAACCCTCGGCTGCTGCAGCTGGAGCTGCCACTGAAATGAAAATAAAAGACAAAAAAGAAAATAAATCCGAAGTTGCTTACTTCCATGCCGCGCCCAATGTGCTCAGACACACGCACGTCGGACCCTTCCAAAATAATGCGATGAAGAATCCTGATGTTGGCAGCAGCTTGAGTTATCATTGAAAAATAAATGTCTGCTGCTACTCCGTCTAGTTCCCATTCGCTCAGCCCCCGGCTGCTGGGGTGTACGTACACCGCAACTTTCCGCCCCGCGCCTCCGCTGCTTCCTGCTGCCACCAGCAGCGCCACTTCCGGGCTCAGTGCAAAGCCTTCTAGAACCCCTCTAGACTCCTTGCCTGCTGCTGCTGCTGCTGCTGCTGCTGCTGTAAGCAGTTCGTCTACCAAGTGGTCATGGGGCCCCGGGGGCCCTTTCTCAAGCTGCCACAAGCACCTGTGGCTTTGGCAGTCCTTCCCACAAAGACTGCTGGCTGCTGCTGCGCTGCAGCCATCAGCAGCAGCAGCACGAGGATCCCCTAAAACGGGAGACGGAGGCAAACCCAAATAGAAACGCAGCTGAGATATCCAGGCCCCCTTTACTGCAGCAGCCTCTTCTGGGTCATCCCAGGGGAACAGAAGTTCCCTGCTGCTGCTTGGGGGGCCCCCCTCCTGGCCCTCTGAAGGGGGCCCCCCCTCGGGGCCTGGGGGGCCCCCCGCAGGGTACCTGGGGGCCCTGAGGGTCAGAAAGCCCCACGGGGGCATCCCGACTGCTGCAGCAATCTTTTGCTGCTTCTCTCCTGCTGCTGCTGCTGCCAGCAGCTCTTCATATTCTTTGCTGCTGAGTCTGTAAAGACCCAAATTTATGGACTTTGCTGCTGCAGTGAAGACCCCCTCTTCCCCCCACTCCTCTGCAAGATTTCGAAAACGGCGATTAGCTTCTTCTAAGACAGCCGCTTCGTACTCAGTGAGTGGGGGGCCCCCCGCAAGCGAGGGGGCCCCCAAGGGGGCCCCCAAGGGAGCCCCCAGGGGGCCCCCCAGGGGGGGAGGGCCCCCAGCAGCGGAGGGCAGAGCGCCCCCTTTGCCAGCCAAAGGGGGGCCCCCAGAAGCCCCAGAGTCCTCACTGGGGCCCCCAGATGCAGCAGAAAGCAGCCGCAGGAGGTAGGCCCACGCGAAGGCATCAAGGCCGCTGTGAGGTACCACCTGAGGCAGCAGCAGCAGCAGCAGCAGCAGCAGCAAAACGAAAGGAAACTGAAGAATACTAGGCAGCAGATGCGAACCGAGGTGAGAAGTTTAAGATGTACAGGGAAAAAGAGATGAGACAAGGTGACTAAGGCGAGACAAACTGGCCCTTGCTGCTGCTGCTGCTGCTGCGTTGTTTGCAAAGCAGCAGAAGCAGGTGCAGCAGCAGGAGCAGCAGCAGCAGCAGGAGCACGTGTTTGCATTCAAAACAAAGAAGGGGAGTCACAAATTCTCGTTATAACTCATTAAAAGCCCACAATTGGTATTTACTTGTCTTAATTGCTTTTTAAAATTCAAGAATTTGATTTAATTTATTTCTTTTCACCTGAGATGTAATGTTCAAGTCCACGAGGCTGCTGAGGGCTTCCAGAAACCCCCGCAAGTAAATTCGCAAGAAAGACTCGGGGGCCCACTGCAGCCGCTGTGGGGCCCCCGCTTCACCTGATCCCCTGCTGCTGCTGCTGCTGCTGCTGCTGCTGCTGCTGCTGCTGCTGCTGGTGTTTGCCTTCGGTTTCGGGTCGCCGTCGCCCAGCAGCCAGAAGTGGATTCTCCATTCTGCTGCTGCTTCCGGCGCTAGGAGTGCGGGGGAGAGGATCCAGCGGCCTAGCACTTGCACCACTGCTGCTGCTGCTGCTGCTGCTGCTGCGTCTTGCGCCTGCGCTGCCTGCTGCTGCCTCCTGGGCACCACCAGCAGCAAAGAGCTCCCGCTCCCTATGTGCACACGAGGCAGCAGCTCAAGTTCACTTGTCAGGGGAGAAGCCACGAGAAGCTGCAGCTGCGACTGCACTTGAGGGCCCCCCGCCCTTTGCCTCCAGGCCGTGGGGCTCTGCTGCTGCAGCGCAGCAGCTGCTGCTGCTAGGGAAGGACACTCATCTGCTGCCTGCAAACTCTCAAGAAGATGAACAGCCAGCAGTCCTTGGGAGCTTCCAGACTGGGGTTGCTGCTGCTGCTGCTCCTGCTGCTGCTCCTGCTGCTGCTGCCCTGCAGCTGCTAGTACAGATGCTACGGGAATGGCTGAGCACTGGCTGCTGGCTGGGCGTGCTGCTGCCCCGCCCAGGGCCACGAGGTGTCTGTACACCTCAGACGCAGCAGCAGCAGCGTCATCGCACAGAGGCACCACCGTAAGCACAGTGACCCACTGCAGCAGCTGTTCCGGGGGCACTGCTGCAGCGCTGCAGGCACCCGCAGCCCCACTGCTGGCTAGCTGCTGCTGCTGCTGCTGCAAGTGCTGCTGCCAGAGGCGGCGCTGTACTAGCGAGCTTTCTGAAAGCGCGCAGGAGCCCAGAGGAGCAGACAGTCGCTGCACTTCTTCTTTTCCGGAAGCTGCTGCTGCGGCGGTGGCGGCCCGCCGATCTGCATCGTTCGAGAAGTAGGGGACGAACAAACTGGAAATTGAATTGTGAATGCACGGATCAGGTATTTCGTGCCGTTCTACTTGCACAGCGCGCCACCAGAGCCAGCACAAGACCACGTTTATGACGGCAAACAGGCACAGTGCCAGCGGCCGCACGGGCGGCCCCAGAGCCATTCTGCTGCAGCCTCTGAGTGCCCTGGGAAGCAATCTGAACTCAAAAACAAATTAAAAAGCCAGGAAACAAGGGAAAGATCCCGCGAGCAACAGCAGCAAGCGCCGCCGCTGCGTCTCGGGAAGGAGCCGACTTGCATGCAGTCGGCGGCGCACCCTGGAGGTGATGCAGCTGAGACTTGAAATCACGAAATCCGGCCGCGATCCTCAATGGAAAAAAATTAATTTGGGGTTTTTTAATTCCGCAAGAGAAGCCGCTTTAAATGGTCACAGATTCAATCACAGGCCACCGTAGAGGAAGCCCACGGACTGACCCAAGCAAAGTATCTATGTTAGCTGACGCGGAAGCCATGCAAACACGAGGGCGTTCTTGATCTCTTTGTTTCACTTCCCTCCATTCGTAGTGGAATTTAGAGCGCCGATTCATGAGTTCCGTCTCTAATTATGCATCGAGTAGAGGCACACACAGGCCTGCGAGTTGAGCAGCCATCGGGCTTGCGAACACGGGGTCACCAAAGAAAGCAGACCGAGGTTGAATAAGATGCACTATAGAGCTTTAACATGTAGACAACATCAGCATGAGTCATGACACTGCGTTATTTCGGTCAATACTATGATTCTTCAGCCGATGCCTTTGCGTGACCCTCCAGGGGCTCGCCGGCGCAGCAGTTCAGCCTTTATATGGCTGAAACATCAGCGCAGGTCCTCTAAAACATTAGGCAATTCATCTGCCACCCATAGAGTGCTTCCTTCCTTTCCATCTCTTGGCAGTAAACGGGGCGTTCCACTGCCTGTCAACAGGGCCCTAATCAGTTCAGAGAAAAGGCACATACAGGAATTCGCAACGGGACTAAAAAGTTCCAGTGGAGAGAAGCGCAAAAGAAAATGGCTGCCGATACCAGTATATAAAGATCCTCCCCACGGAAGCGCTTCAACGGAAACTTTTGGATCTCCAAACTCCTGCAGCCCCTGTGGGGAACCGTCACGTTGCGGATCAAGTGAAGCCGCTCAGCAACAGGAAGCTGTACTGGCATCTGAACGAGCCCTCCTTTCCTACCCTATCCTGTTCGATCAATCAGGTGGTCTGCATTCAAATGCCCTCCATCGTGCAGACCCATCTCCGCCAACTGGTGGAGCCAATGAGAGATGTCACTTCGAAAAGAATTTGGTGCTACCGGCAGACAAAGAGACTCCAAGCATGCCCCCACAAACTGCAGACAAAAGAGCGAGTGCACTTCCTGGGTCAATGGTTGCTGGGAGGGTTCACAATCGCGGTGAACCAAACACAGTGCTTACGGTATGCGAAGGAATGTCCAAAGCTTTCCTTAGTCAAACGGAGCCGCCTATAGCGGTGCGTGAGGAAGCTACGACAAAGGTGCCGCAGCCAGTGCCTGTCATGTCGGGCGAAACGCAGCAGCAGCACTACAAATACAAACAGAGCGAAGCGCAGAGGCCAGCAGGGACATCAACCGACGGATGGACGAACACCATCTGCAACAGTTCTCCTGTACTTCTCCACAGCCTCAACATCTCTGTATCTCCTACACAACTACCCAAACAAAACCGCCTCCGGCATAAACATGAGACAATTAAGACGTTCCCTTCAATCGAAACCCGGCAACGGCAAGATACCTGCGTCGCAACCAGCAAGCCACAGTTTACTACAAACAGAGTCCACGCACTGCAGCATCCAACACTAGACATATCATCAAGCAACAGCTTCTTCAACATGCAACAAAAGGACGGTCACAGACACAACGAAGCAGCAAACAATGAAAATAAAAATCCACACGCACACGAGTACGAAGAGCGCAGAGCAGGGCCTCGACGCTCATCAGCAGGAAACCACAGCCTCCCCATGTTCATAGCCCGTGCACACCATCACCCAGCACGTCGGGACACAGACACGTCCTATGAAGAAACAGGCTCACTCCGAAATGAGGACCTTGAGCCTGCCTCTGCTTCACGCCGACAGGTTCGGCAGTCGTTCATATCGGATCCTCGACAACGCGTGCTCCTCACACGAACCAACTCGGCCGAAAAAGAGAAACACAGTCAACACGCACACGAGTACGAAGAGCGCAGAGCAGGGCCTCGACGCTCATCAGCAGGAAACCACAGCCTCCCCATGTTCATAGCCCGTGCACACCATCACCCAGCACGTCGGGACACAGACACGTCCTATGAAGAAACAGGCTCACTCCGAAATGAGGACCTTGAGCCTGCCTCTGCTTCACGCCGACAGGTTCGGCAGTCGTTCATATCGGATCCTCGACAACGCGTGCTCCTCACACGAACCAACTCGGCCGAAAAAGAGAAACACAGTCAACACGCACACGAGTACGAAGAGCGCAGAGCAGGGCCTCGACGCTCATCAGCAGGAAACCACAGCCTCCCCATGTTCATAGCCCGCGCACACCATCACCCAGCACGTCGGGACACAGACACGTCCTATGAAGAAACAGGCTCACTCCGAAATGAGGACCTTGAGCCTGCCTCTGCTTCACGCCGACAGGTTCGGCAGTCGTTCATATCGGATCCTCGACAACGCGTGCTCCTCACACGAACCAACTCGGCCGAAAAAGAGAAACACAGTCAACACGCACACGAGTACGAAGAGCGCAGAGCAGGGCCTCGACGCTCATCAGCAGGAAACCACAGCCTCCCCATGTTCATAGCCCGCGCACATCAACAGCCATCCCATCAGGTGGCTTATGCGTCGGCAGATGAAAGGCCCTCTCGTTCCGACGACATGTACGAGCCTGCCTCTGCTTCACGCCGACAGGTTCGGCAGTCGTTCATATCGGATCCTCGACAACGCGTGCTCCTCACACGAACCAACTCGGCCGAAAAAGAGAAACACAGTCAACACGCACACGAGTACGAAGAGCGCAGAGCAGGGCCTCGACGCTCATCAGCAGGAAACCACAGCCTCCCCATGTTCATAGCCCGAGCACATCAACAGCCATCCCATCAGGTGGCTTATGCGTCGGCAGATGAAAGGCCGTCTCGTTCCGACGACATGTACGAGCCTGCCTCTGCTTCACGCCGACAGGTTCGGCAGTCGTTCATATCGGATCCTCGACAACGCGTGCTCCTCACACGAACCAACTCGGCCGAAAAAGAGAAACACAGTCAACACGCACACGAGTACGAAGAGCGCAGAGCAGGGCCTCGACGCTCATCAGCAGGAAACCACAGCCTCCCCATGTTCATAGCCCGCGCACACCATCACCCAGCACGTCGGGACACAGACACGTCCTATGAAGAAACAGGCTCACTCCGAAATGAGGACCTTGAGCCTGCCTCTGCTTCACGCCGACAGGTTCGGCAGTCGTTCATATCGGATCCTCGACAACGCGTGCTCCTCACACGAACCAACTCGGCCGAAAAAGAGAAACACAGTCAACACGCACACGAGTACGAAGAGCGCAGAGCAGGGCCTCGACGCTCATCAGCAGGAAACCACAGCCTCCCCATGTTCATAGCCCGTGCACACCATCACCCAGCACGTCGGGACACAGACACGTCCTATGAAGAAACAGGCTCACTCCGAAATGAGGACCTTGAGCCTGCCTCTGCTTCACGCCGACAGGTTCGGCAGTCGTTCATATCGGATCCTCGACAACGCGTGCTCCTCACACGAACCAACTCGGCCGAAAAAGAGAAACACAGTCAACACGCACACGAGTACGAAGAGCGCAGAGCAGGGCCTCGACGCTCATCAGCAGGAAACCACAGCCTCCCCATGTTCATAGCCCGCGCACATCAACAGCCATCCCATCAGGTGGCTTATGCGTCGGCAGATGAAAGGCCGTCTCGTTCCGACGACATGTACGAGCCTGCCTCTGCTTCACGCCGACAGGTTCGGCAGTCGTTCATATCGGATCCTCGACAACGCGTGCTCCTCACACGAACCAACTCGGCCGAAAAAGAGAAACACAGTCAACACGCACACGAGTACGAAGAGCGCAGAGCAGGGCCTCGACGCTCATCAGCAGGAAACCACAGCCTCCCCATGTTCATAGCCCGCGCACACCATCACCCAGCACGTCGGGACACAGACACGTCCTATGAAGAAACAGGCTCACTCCGAAATGAGGACCTTGAGCCTGCCTCTGCTTCACGCCGACAGGTTCGGCAGTCGTTCATATCGGATCCTCGACAACGCGTGCTCCTCACACGAACCAACTCGGCCGAAAAAGAGAAACACAGTCAACACGCACACGAGTACGAAGAGCGCAGAGCAGGGCCTCGACGCTCATCAGCAGGAAACCACAGCCTCCCCATGTTCATAGCCCGCGCACACCATCACCCAGCACGTCGGGACACAGACACGTCCTATGAAGAAACAGGCTCACTCCGAAATGAGGACCTTGAGCCTGCCTCTGCTTCACGCCGACAGGTTCGGCAGTCGTTCATATCGGATCCTCGACAACGCGTGCTCCTCACACGAACCAACTCGGCCGAAAAAGAGAAACACAGTCAACACGCACACGAGTACGAAGAGCGCAGAGCAGGGCCTCGACGCTCATCAGCAGGAAACCACAGCCTCCCCATGTTCATAGCCCGTGCACACCATCACCCAGCACGTCGGGACACAGACACGTCCTATGAAGAAACAGGCTCACTCCGAAATGAGGACCTTGAGCCTGCCTCTGCTTCACGCCGACAGGTTCGGCAGTCGTTCATATCGGATCCTCGACAACGCGTGCTCCTCACACGAACCAACTCGGCCGAAAAAGAGAAACACAGTCAACACGCACACGAGTACGAAGAGCGCAGAGCAGGGCCTCGACGCTCATCAGCAGGAAACCACAGCCTCCCCATGTTCATAGCTCGTGCACATCAACAGGCGTCCCATCAGGACGCTAGTGCGACTTCTGCGAAAGGTATATTGCTTGGAAGGATGAGTGGTACAGTGGATTGTACTCCAGGAAAACGTGTGAGTGTTCTTCGACTGTTCCTTCTTAAAGGGGATTTTCGTATCATAGCAATCTGCGCGGATTCGTTTGTGGCCGTCAAGCTTGTCGCTGTCGTTTACAGTTAGAGCGCATGTGGGTTTTCTTGAAGCTTCTCAGGGCTTTTCTGAATGTGTGGCTACTTTTCCTGCGTCACCTACACACTACATTTTGTGCCACAATTGAAAGACTCAGAAACAGTCATTTTCTAAACGCACGACCCATGTATCATCAGGCCATTTTGTTAAGTCCTCATGCAAACCGCGAGCACCGAGAAGTAAATTCTCCTTGGAGCCCCGTTTCTCGGCCTGTAGATGAAGAGGACAACAGTCAGAGGCATGCGGGTCTACAAAAGCACAGAAACGCCGAGACGTTTACGAGCTGTGATCCGCTGAAACCGTATGTTTCACCTCCATGTAATGCTCCATTTGAAAGCGAAGGATCGCTAAAGTCAGACGAAGGTTTGTTACGACAAAAAGGCGATATTGGGTGTCTCTGCTCGTCGGAAGACGGTACGTGATGTTTGCTCCACTACTTTTGCAAGGGAACGCTCATAGCAGCTGGAAACATTTCGGGTCTGGGCAACTAATACGTGCTTACTAGTGCTCAGTTTAGTATGCTCTGCTTTTCAGACAGCACTCTGTGCTCACTGCATGCGCCTCCAGGAATCGTTCTGCACGCGTCTGGGAGGCATCCTGGAAGTTCGGTGGTAGACGCAGATAGCGGTTCGAATATATATCCTGGGATGCCTGCTGTGCCTGAAACGCATCCTGTCATCAAACCGCCGGCTTTCAAAAGGTTTTTGGCTTCAAGCATAGTATCTGAAGCACAGCTGGCGCCAGACTCGACAATGACATACAAAACAACAAAGTCACCATCTAGTCTTGATCCTAACCACGCAAACTTCATCAACCAATCTCCATGCCTGCCTTCAAGTTGTTTTCTGACACACGGCACATGCACGACTTCTGCACGGGGACACACTGACGAAGGCTTCGGTTGCTTTCCGCTAGGAGCACTCGGACCGCAACCAGTATTTAATTGCCCCCATATGCTACCAAAGGACCGGCCTCAGTCAATCTCACACAGAGAACTTCAAAGGTACTGTTCCGTTGACAAGAGCGGCGTTCATGGGACCAGACCCAATAATGAGGCAACAAGGCAACTTCTGCAAAAACCTGGCTACAATGGGCTGTCAAACCCTCCGGTTTACTTACAACTTAGGCAACCTGTAGCCCCAAATCGGTTACCAGTCGGATTTGAATCGTCCTCATTTCCGGGAGTTTCCGAAGAAACTCGAACAGTTTTTTACAGGCGCTGCCCGTTGGAAGATGAAGCTAGTCTTTTTGTGGTTATTGAGCCAACAACACGCGCACTGTGTTTCAGAGGCTTGTCTGGTAACAGTGCCGGGGCGAAAAGAGATGCAAAATCTGTGAAACATCGAGCTTGTGAAACAGAGGAAGGCGCGCCTTTCTGTTTTCTTGAGAATCGGTTTGTGGAAGAAAACCTTGTCAATCGCGCACAACAAAAACTGTGGCGAGCTATATACGCAGTTCCCGAAGTGAAGGCATCTCACCTAAGTGCCAGTTCACCGCGCTTTGAACAAGGTACGCTATTCATACTTTTGCTCCCTCACTTTGTGCCAGTTCACCGCACTTTGGACAAGGCATGCTGTTCTTTTTTCGCCACCTTTCAAGCTGTAAAGTTGAATTTTGTTTTCTCCCGTATTTCGCCTTGGTTGAGAACCTAATTTTCTACACGGCGGTAACTAGATGTGTTCCGTCAAGAAGTGTGGCTGGCGGCGTCCCCGCCAGCATCTGTATCGTCAGAGAAAGGGGAATAATCGTGCTTTCTGAAAAGCTCCCGCCATTTGCAAAGCAAAAACTCCAAGACTTTTGTGTGAGCTGTGTGCTACAAAAATATGAAGGATGTTCAGTCCATCCAATTCCTAACCGGCGTCCGAGGCAGCAAACAGATTTGGCTGTGTAAATGTTTCATGCTGCAGACTTCCGCAACGCAACAAGAACTGGGATGCTTGGTAAGAGTCTTCGAGGTCTGTCAAATAGGGTTGAGCGACCGTCTTAAGGTCTCACAAGGGCTGTGTCCATGGCAGCTACTAGAACCATGCCGCCAGCACGAGCTGCCTCAAGCTGCTTTCGACAAACGGAGTAGCCATGCTGACGATATGTCTCATAAATACACTCAACGTTCTCTTCACATAAGCGTGTCTGTGTGTCGACTTGTGTGCCATGAAGACCCCGAGAGAGAAGGCTCACAATGTCAACATCAGACAAGGAGTGGACCTTCGGTGATGATTCAAGCAGGCTCAACGCAACAGGAGGCACTTTCGGAGCGTTGGAAAATGCACTTTCTATTGAAGCAAGTACAATGCCCAACAGTACTGAACGGGCATATAAGTAAAGCACAGCAACAACCACACCAAGATACGGCAGGCGTCTGCCAGCCAACATTTATGGGAACATCATGAAATCAATAATCAGGTGAGCGTCCATTTTTCATGTAGAGGCGGGGATGCGCCAGCGATAGAAAGCTAGGAATATCACTAAGTGAACTACACCACACAGAAACGCACGTTTGCGAGTGCCATGTCTAGTTCACAATGAGAAAAAGCTATTCTGCAATTTCGACTTGTAGGTTGTTAAAAGGAACTGTCTATGTGAAGGGCCAGCATCTTCACGATGCTGCTTTGTATGAAGCGGTCATTGACGGCTCTGATTTTGAGCTGGGTCTGCACTCAGCCCCCTTCTCGTGCCTCTCCGGTAACTATATAGCAATTCTTCAGGCTAGCGGCATTTTCAGACTATTATTGCTTTTTTAAGGGAAAATTCAGCTCTAAGATTTTCTAAACGGCCTGCAGTGATAACGGTGCTTGTGCTTAGAACGCTCCTTTGCTTCAGTAGGCCGACAAAACTACAAACGCTGCTATTAGTCTCGTATAGCAATGGTACACCCGAATACCACACAACCAGAATGAATAGAAAAACAAATGAATGTTTAACGCAAGTCCGCCGCAGTAAAGGACGATGGCCAGAAAAGTATATCAGAATGATACAAGCTACAGGCGTTTTTTCCAGCATCTTGCGGATGCTGGGAAAAGTTCATTTTGCAGACGGATGCTACACGACAGTCACAAGCGTACGAAGATGTTAGTACAGGTCTCACTTGAAATCAGTGAGACCTGCGTTGATATCTATTGAGCCGATAGCGACATGGTTCTAACACTTTCTAAATAAATTGCTTTATCAGAACCTCGTTTGAAAGTGAGTCAGCTAGACTTATTGATGGACCTGGTAAAGAGCTTGTTTACCCAAGCAGGCACTCGACATGGGGAGCCCCCATTAAGGCAGCTGGAAGGCACCGCAAACTTCGTAGAAAGAATCGCTCAGAAACCATGACTTCCTGGCTCTTCTCCGGCCATTCACAGCTCATCGGAGAAGCAGTGCTCTAAGATGTTGTGGTCACAAAGGTGCAGCTGAGTTCCTCGATTAAGCTTGATTAGGTCGCTTCGCTGGTGCATGTTGTAAGTACTTTCACACGAGAAAAATTTAATCTTCCAGGTTCTTCCCGCTTGCGCAAGCTGAATTCTTCCTCATGAAGAAGGTTCTGGAAGGACACCATGCTGGATTTCTGTGGTACCGCTGACGCTCGTGACAAAATTTATGAAACTTTTGGCCTGCACCCCTGTTGAGCAATAGCTCGGGAAATGTGAAGAAGCGCCAACGTTCTATTCAAGCGCACCTGTCGCACCAGCAGCAATTAATTACAGCCAAGAAGTAACAATATTGCCTGGGCGACCACATTGGTAGAACGAAAAGGGGTATTCCATGCTTCTCAACAGTATTACTGTGACAAGTTATCCGTAACCTAAACACGCTGGAGAGTGTGGCCAAGCATGGTTTCTAATGGAGAAACTCAATTTGAAGTGTGACCCGTTTAGCTACGTGCGAGGTCTGCAGTCCAAAGTTGACTTTCCATTCAACTTTACTCAATGACTTTAGGTGGGTGAAAACTGGTCGGCCATCCTGTTGGTACAGGCAGTTTACGCAGTATCCCTAGTCAAGAAATGGGTCTCAAGGCCTTCTTTAAAGGCTAAAGCACGTGACTGGCATCTGCGCCTGTCATGCTGCTGATTTTCTAGAAGCGGATGAGACAGCTTACTAGCACATTCATGATTTTAAGAGTTGGCGCTTTGATGGTTGCGACATATTTTCCTTCCTGCTCAGGAGATTTCCACATTTACCAGGATAGTTACTAAATATGGGGATTCAGTATACATTCGAAGGGCACCTGAGCTGATTGCCTTGCTGCGGTGTGCAGCTGTCTCTGGTGCTTCCGAAGAAGTGCATCTGAATCTCTGCAGCGTGCGTTGGCCGCCACACTATCAGCAATATATTTATACACGTCATGTAGCTGAAACTTTTGCGCAAGACGTGAGCATGTGAGTCTAACGCAGCCTCATGTTTTGTTATTGTAATGGGACCACAGCAGCTGCTGTTCAGCGGCTAAACCCGCAGAAATATAGACATGACACAAGTTGAGAAACCACATAAAGAACAAGTGCCTTCGGACACAGGAAATGCACCAACGCCTGCCATAACTTTCTAGGGGATATGCGAAAACTGTGTCAGGTACATCCTGGAGTGCGGCCTTATGCACAGCTCCCAATTTGGCGCGAATACTCGATACTTGATTTCACCGTACGCTGCCAGTTGCTGTGGGGTGACTGTGGGGGTATTCTGCTACCTAACAGCCACATAACTGCCTTGGACACGGGCAGTAGATGCAACAATGCAGAGTTCCCACTCTGCATTGTTGAAACGCGTTTGAGATAATGGCATTGCAACTGAATGTTCCATTAATCTGAAGACGGCTAGGCGCCTTCGTGTCTGTTTTCTCCTACTATGAAACGCAGCGGATAGAGAAGTCATTTGCGTGTTGTTCTGGCCAAATGGTACCAAACGCTAAGCTCTCGGATAGGCGCAGGGAGGCCTATGTACCGCGTTGTACGGCTTCCCAGAATCCTATGGGCTCCGTTTTCAGCTACAGCAGGCATTGCAGTTTTTCATCG